CTCCTACTCTTTAATCCCTGTTGGCTGGTTTCTTGCTCTTCCTCTTGACTTGGGTTTAAGTTTTTTAGATCTGATATACGGAGAGCTCTTGGATTAAAGGTATGTGCTAGAGCTGGGTGAACCACACCATAATCACCTGTTTGAAATAAACAGAAAGTTCTTTGATTAAAGGTATGTGATTGGGCTCAACCAAACCAAACAAACAGGGTTTTACATTTCACAATTTTTGGGTTCACAATGGGATCAAATATCTTGCAACAGTAGTTTGCCTTGGAAACTAAAAGACATGGGGATATGGAATGACTCTTTTGAAACCATTGAATTGATACTAAACTTGATTGTATTTTGGTCATTTTGCCTTCAGCTCATTCTCCTACTGGGCTCGTTATGCAAAGGGAAGACATTACTATGGAATGGATTTTCTTAGCACATAAACAAAGCAAAAAAAGGTAGACCCATATAGACAAAATTTCTGGATTAATTATAAAAGGTAGACTTGTACTACATCAGTTGTCAGGAACAGACCCGGCTGAAATTGTACCTCTTACTAATACTGAGATCATGCCATTCCGGGTGATCAATAAGGACTGGCAAAGAGCTTGTAGTAATTAGTTGAGAGAAATTAAATAATAAATATCCAAAAGCAAATGTATGGAGTTTATAAGAAGAACTAATTGGATTCTTCCACATAAAGAAAACAGCAATTCCAGAGGCACCAACATCCTATACTGATGCAAACAACGTGGGGATGAAAGGTTATAAGTCAGACAAAATAAGTCCATATACCTCCGTTCAAAAATCAGAACTGTATGCAATCTCTAGGTATTATTAAATTTTCTTAGATCTCCCAATATAATTTCTGATTCTTTATAGGCAGAAAGAGTTGTTTTGCATATAGAGCCTGCTTAATTTCTTCCTGATAACTCAGAATTAACCTTGTTATTTTTGCAATTACAACAGGCCATCAGAAGCAGAAACTATTCATTTATATTATTCATATTCAGTCTCATATAGGTTTGCCAGGTCCACTGGCACAAGAAGGTGAGGGAATTGACCAATTACTAATAGGGAATGTGTTAGAAGTCTCCAAATTTCATTAGAAATATCATGTTAATGAAAAAAGTTCAAAGAAAAAAATTATATCATTTGGTAACAAGCTAGAGAAATAGTAAAAACATCCTACATGTTCTCTGTATAACCAAATTCTGTTACCTGCTGATAATAACCCTAGGGGTACCAAAAGAAATGAAATCTGGCAGATGGATGCTTTTCATTTTGCAGAGTTTGGAAAACAGAGGTGTATACACCACACCATTGACACGTGCTCAGGGTGTCAAGGGTCAGCTGCTTTAAGCTCTGAAAAGGCTGATTTTGTAATTGCACACTTATTAGAAATAATGGCTCTCACAGGGACACCTGCACAAACTGAGATAGTTACTTACATTCAAGAGCCGGTGCATTGTGCATTCAAAAAGGGATTGGCAGCCAGCCACGGTGGTGCGGGTTTGTAATCCCAGCACTTAGGAAGGCAGAGGCAGGCGAATCTCTGTTAGTTTAAGGCCAGCCTGATCTACAAAGCAAGTCCAGAATGGCCAAAGCTACATACACACATACCAAAAAAAAAAAAAAAAAAAAAGTCTCAAACAAACAAACAAACAAACAAAAAGAGATTTGCTGACCCAGCATCAGAAAATTTACAAATTGGAAAGTGTGGAGAAATGACCCTCTTCAAGATCCTTTCCGATTCAAAGGTTCTAATGAAAAACTTTTGAAGAAAGGTGTTACCATTTTTCTCTTCCAGGCCCCAATGTAAGGATAAACCACAGAAATCATGTTCAAAATAGATTCCAGGACCAGCAATTTTACCAGTAGGTGAAAGCACTGGCTGCCAACTTGGCAAGCTGCTGACCACATGGTAAAGGAGTGAACTTGAAATACATTTTTCCAGCCCTTTACTCTGAGACTGATGCTCTAACCAAGGACCATGTATGGAGATAACCTAGAACCCCTGCTCAGAGGTAGCCCATGGCAGCTCAGTGTCCAAGTGGGTTCCGTAGTAAGGGGAACAGGGTCTGTCTCTGACATGAACTCAGTGGCTAGCTCTTTGACTGACTCCCCTGGATGGGGGAACAGCCTTGCCAGGCCACAGAGGAGGACAATGCAGCCAGTTCGGATGAGACCAGATAAGCTAGGGTCAGATGGATGGGGAGGAGGACCTTCCCTATCTGTGGACTTGGAGAGGGGCATAGGCGAAGATGAGGGAAGGAGGGTGAGACTGAGAGGGGAAGAGAGAGAGGGGCTCCAGCTGGGATACAAAGTGAATAAACTGTAATTAAAATAAAAAATAAAAATTAAAATAACTAAAATAAAAAGGAGGGAACTCCAGAAAGTTGTCCTATGACTACCATATGCAAGCCATACTACATATGTGCCCCCCAAACAAATAAACATAGTAAAGTCTTTAAAACAGACACCATGAGAGTATCAATGTTAAAAGTATGGAGAGAAAGCAAACCCATATCTACTTCTGGTTTTGCTTGGTGTTCATAGAACCTTTTGAGTAAAGGTTTAAGAAGTAGTAGTATGAATGTATGTTTTTGTCACAAAACCAGGTGTTTGGTATCTCATCACACCTATGGCCTTCTTCATATGTGGTTTTTAGGATGCATCATTTGGACAAGATTTTATTTTCTTTTTTATACATTTATTGATTTATGTATATGAGTGTTCTATCTGCATGTACACCTGCATGCCAGAATTGGATATCAAATCCCATTATAGATGGTTGTGAACCACCACGTGGTTGGTGAGAATTGAACACAAGACCTCTGTAAGAGCAGCCAGTGCTGCTCTTAGCCTCTGAGCCATCTCTCCAGCCCCTAGATAAGATTAGAGGTAACTCGCACCTTTAATTCTAGCACTCTAAAGGCAGAGGCAGGATGTCTGAGTTCAAGGCCAGCCTGGTCTACATAGCTAGTTCCAGAACAGCTACAACTACATCAAGAAACTCTATCTCAAACAAACAACGTGAGAGAGAGAGAGAGAGAGAGAGAGAGAGAGAGTATTTGAAAGAATTATGGTTTTTGTCCTCTGGCCAAAGGTCCAGCACTGTGGAACAGCTTGTCATTAGAGCTTATTAATCATTAATAATAAAGTAGCATACAGTAGAGTGTGTGCATTGCTATCATTTTTCTCTTTTTGACAGACAGTGAGGCAGGTTAGTAATTGTCATTTTTATTTACCGGTCCAGAAACTAGTTCTTGGAGATGCTTACCTATCACAATAATGAGTGGACCTACTGCTGGATCACAGGCTTTTTTATTTCTAGTCCACTGTTCTTTCTCCAAAAAGTAGGCTTAGAACCTTCCTTGAATTCAGATGATGCTTTTCTTTCTCAATTATTCTGGTTCTGTGTGGTAGGCAGGGTGTTTTGGCCAAAAGACAGTTTCTAATGTAACTGTTGTCCCCAGTTAATTTTGTGCCATGAAAAGCTTCCAGATGGGGCTAGAGAGACAATGGCTCAGCAGTTAAGAACATGTGTGTTCCTGCAGAAGACAGGGTTTGGTTCTCAGCACCCACATCGGGGGCTTACAGCCCTCTTTAACTCTGGTTCCAGAGGATCCAGCACCCTCTTCTAGCATCTTGGGCACCAAACTCCACTTCAGTACACACACACACACACACACACACACACACACACACACACCACTCATACATACAAAATAAAAATAATGAACAGTCTTTAAAACGTAGTCAGCATCCACTTCTAATGATGTTAGAGAATATTTAACCATGGTCAAGTATGTCTGTGTACCACATGCATGCCTAGTGCCCTCAGAGATGAGAAGAGCATCAGATCCCCTTGAACTGGAGTTACAGATAGTTGGGGGTTGTAAAAGAAACTTTTATTCGCCTGCTTTGATTGTTTTCTTGGAAGATTACAGTGGGCCACCAACATCCGTGTTGGGGACTGAACCCGGATCCTCTACAAAACCAGCAAGCCCTCCTAACCACTGAGCCATCTCTCCATTCTCCTTTAGTGGAATTCTTATCCACCAGAAAGACCTGGGCTTAAATATCGGCTCTGACAGAGCTGTAGCTATGGCAGCATCATCATCTGGAACCCCAGTTTTGTTCTATGTAGAATGTAGACAGTAAAAGCGCTGCCTTTTGAGGCTGTTGAGGCGCTCAGGTACGGGAATGAATGCAAAAGCACAAATACTGGGCTGTTTTTGAAAAAAAATATTGTATGTTTTCAGTTGTCTCCCACACACTTTTCTACTGGATAGTACTGTGTTTTCTAATTACTTTCTCTGAAAAAATCTTAGCAGGCTGCGAATAAATCCTACTCGGTGGTATCCTGTTGTGCCGAGAAGCCATAAAGGTTCAACAGAGCAGGTGTATCCTGAGTGCCCAACCTTGAGCTGACTGGCCTCTAAGTAGCTTGAAATCAGGCCCTTCCTCCAGTACACAGAGAGCATGGTCCAAAGGTGCCTGACCAACCTGAGAGAGTTGAGTGAGTCAGCCAGACCCAAAAGGATGGGAGTTGCCTTGGTAGAGAGGGAGGGGATGGCCCCGTGAAAGGACACCGCTATCAGTGGGCTGCAGAAGTGAACATACGCTTGCATTCGCGTTCTTACACTTCTGGGGCTAGTCATGGAGCCTCTCAGAACTTCGGTTTCCTTATCTGGGAAGAGAAAGAAATTAGCCAAAGGTGGTGGCCCAAGCCAGTACACCTAGCATCTTGGGAGGCTGAGGCAGAAATACCACAAATTAGAGGCCTATGGGGACTACGCTAAAACAAAGAGAAACCTATCCTGAGCCACTGTTTCCAGTTTAAAGAGCTGCGAGACGGGTAAGCCAGTCCGAAGAGAGGGACGGTGTGTGCGGAGAAGCGGGGAGCTGTGCTCCCAGGGTCACGTGGCTCGTGGCCGCGCCCCTGTTCGGCGAGCCCCGACCGCTGCAGCAGCAGTCGGTGCGCGTGCGCGGAGGCCTGCGCGCTCTGCGGCGCGGTCCGCGGTGGAGGCGGCTGGAGAGGCTAGGGGGTGGCGGATGGCTCTGCGGGGCCCGGCGGTCTTCGGGCCCGGTTCCCGCGGGTCGTTGGACGAGGTCGGGGCCGAGGGGCGCGAGGCTGCGGCCCTTGCGGCGGCGGGAGTCGCGCTGGAGGACGATGAGGAGGACGATGGCCGCCGGGGCCTGCTGCGCTGGGACGGCTTCTCGGCCTGGCTGCACTGCGTGTGTGTGGTGGGCTTCGACCTGGAACTGGGCCAGGCGGTGGAGGTGAGGGCGAGCCGCACCCCGTCTCCACCCCGGGCGGCCGCGCATCCCGGGCGTGGCTCGCAGCCCCCGTGCGGCTCAGCTGGGCGGCGCTCCTCCGGCCCTGCGGTGGGAGGACCGAGGGATGCGGCCCGGGGTGAAAAGTTCCTGTAGGCCCTCCTATGTACTTGTTGATGTTCGTTTTTTAGAAGAAGACACAGTAATAACTGAAGGGTAACGGCACCCAGAAAAGGCTGCAGCAGGCAGGGTGTTTGCTCGGGACTTTCAAGAAAGGAGCAGTACAGACATATGGTGAATTAGTGTATATACGTTGCAGGTCCAGTCGTTTTTGGCGCACAGATTGTATTGTCAGTTGCGCTAATTCCGCCAAATCCGAGCCAAAATGCTTATCTCAGCATGCGTTTTCTCTTTTTTCTCTTTTTGTTCCCCATTTCTGGATGGTGTGTCGTTGGGCCCCTAGTCCCTCCAAGATTCTCCCTCCCATTACAAATAGAATCCGAGGCCTTCTGAATGCTAGGCCAGCTCGCTAGGCGAGAGCTGTAGCCCCTTTCTCCCCCCTCCACACCCCGTTTCCTGCTGTTTCTTAATACTGATTCTGTAACAGTTGCCCGTAACCTAATAATGTCAGGGAAAATCATTGGCTTGTAAATGTCAGTTAATCCTTCTTTATAACATCTTGTCTAAAAGGCCTTCGAATCGCACTCAGTTTTGGCATCATTTAGCATCCTTTTTTTGGTAGCGTAAGTGATTTGTCTTACTTATGGAAGGGAAAAGTTATTAGAAAGACTTATGTTCTGAAGGTTTTGGTATTTTGTTATTGTTTTTTTTAGGCGTCAGTGAAAGATTCTTATCTCATTCTAACTTTGGTGGTCTGAATTGACCAAGAAAATTGGCCAGGGAGGTTGTTCCAAATGAGAAACTACTGCTTTTGTGTTCCACCTGTCTCTTTGTCTTTTGTGTCATTACACGGTTCAATTAAATACTGAGTTTTCAGTAAGATCTAGGCACTATGCAAGTTAGTGGACATAAAAAAATAAAGGATGTTATAACCTGTGTATGTGGATTGAGACAATAGAAGATCCAAGAATTAATCTCCGTGGTAAGTAGTCAGATTTACTGTCTGACACATTCTCAGTCAATATTGTTGATAGATGCAGTTAGTACATACAGCAATTCTGTATTTCATTTGAGGTTGGAATAGCAATCTCCAAAGACTGAAGACATTTTCCTTAAGATTTGTATTTTTACATAATGTGTAGGAATGTTTGCCACCACGTCTGTGTGTATAGAACATCTGTGTCTTATGCCCGTGGAGACTGGAAAAGGGGTCAGTTCCTCTGGATCTGTAGTTACAGTCCGTTCTGGCCGTCCAGGTGCTGGGAACTGAACTCCAGATTCCTCTGGAAGAACAGCAAGTGCTCTTAACTGAGCCATGTCCCTAGCCCCTAAAGACAGTATTTTAGGCTAGTTATTTAATGATAAACTGAAATTATATGTGTAGCAAAATAAAAATCGGAAAGCAGAAGCTGTTGTATTTGGTTGCATTTAAAAAAAAAAAAAGATTTGTTTATGTGTGGGTGTTTTGCTTGCATGTGAGTCTCTGCACCACACTCATGCCTGGTGCACCGGGAGGTCAGAAGAGGGTGTCTGGTCCTCAGAAGAGGGGTTACAGAAACCATGGTCAGCTGCCCCAGAAACCAGGTCCTCTGCAAGAGCAGCAAGTGTTCTTACCCATTGAGCCCTCTCTCTAGCCGAATTGATTGGTTTTTATAATCAAATCATTTAGAACATTGATTTTAACGAGTATTTTTTTTAATATTATAATAGAATTGGGGTGCTGACAAATATGAACCACTACAGGGTGCATACCAATTAAGTTATTATTATTAATTATGCTTCTCTGACATTCAAAAAAGAATCAACAGTATGAACTTCCATTGAGAATGAATAAGACAAAATTCCATTTATAGTTAGACTATTTGAACTAACCCATGTATTCTTTGTTACATTTTGTGTCCAGTTTAAGAATCACTGCTTTTAGAAAGTAAGGGTAAGAATGAAGGTTCTTTCATAAAGAATCCAAAGAAAGATAAACACAGTAAGATACAAGATGATTTTTGTTTTTCTTGGAGACCAGATCTCACTGTAACCTCGGAGTACATGTAGCCCAGGCTGGCCTTGAGTCCACAGCCCTCTTCCTGTTGAAGTCTACACCCCTCACTTCTCACCTCCCCACCTCTCCACTTCCAGTGCTGGGATTAGCTAGTAGTTATACGCTGTCGTGTTTGGGATCGAGCAGTCTTGTTTTGCTTGTCTTTAAGAACTACTACATTTATTTATTATGTGTGCACATGTGCGAGTGTGCACACGCCTGTTCACGACAGCAGCGCACAGACACAGAGCAAGATGTGGGTCCTCAGCCTTGGCAGCAGCAAATCCCTTTTTCCTAAACAACTGACCCGTCTCACTGGCTTTTGTTCTTTGAGACCGGGTCTTTCTATGTAAACCAGGCTGGCTTCCAACCTAAGAGATCTCTCTACTTCTGCTTCCTGAGTACACCAGAGAAAATAAAGAGTATTTTGTCTTTGTTCTTTCTAAAATGAACACAGAGCAGTAAATAATATAAGAATATAGTTGCAGCTATATTTTGTTTATACCTGTGTTGGAAATGGACAGGAGTAGTATGGGATTAGAAAGGGAGACTTGTGTTCCCAGTGTCATGTATAGTGGCTCCAGCTCTGTGTCTATAAACTACTACGAGGGAGAATGAAAAGGAAGATTAAAGAATTGCAGTCATGGGTTGGAGAGATGGTTCAGTGGTTAAGAGCAGTGTCTGCTCTGCTAGAGGTCCTGAGTTCAATTCCAGAAACCACATGGTGGGCTCTGATGCCCTCTTCTGGCCTGCAGGTGTACACACAGACAGAGCACTCACATACATTTAATGACAGTAAAATCCTGGAGCAGTGTTGTCCACCTCAGAATCGGGACTGAGAGGCTGGCGGATCTTCTACGCCAGAAAGGCTGTATATTTGTTTTGTTGTGGAAGACAGGGTCTCTCTGTGTAGCCTAGGTGTCCTGGAACTCACTATTTTTTTTCATTCCTGTATAATGAGATTTATTATACAGGGTGGAATGAGACAGAGACAGAAACAGAGAGTGTAGAAAAAGAGAGAGAGGGGGATGGGATGAGGAGCCTTAGGAGAGAAAAGTCAGGGAAGGGGAGAGCAACCAAAGCAGAGTGGGCAAGAGAAGAGAGAGCCTGGAACACACTCTTTAGATCAGGCTGGCCTCCAACTCAAAGATCCACCTTTTTGCCCCTAAAGTGCTGGAATTCTAGGTGTGTACTACTGGACTATATATTTGTTTCTTAAAAATGCAGAATCAACACTTAGAGAGTCGTGTGATATAGCTCCAGTCAGAATGAGGTACAAATGAATAATCTGAAGAGAACAGTTGAGCCATGAAGGAACATCACCCTTAAAAAACAAAACAGCACAAAGCAACAAAATGCAAAATTAGAGCCACTTTACATCAGCTAAGAGCCATCATGGAGTAACAATCAGGAACCTAGTCTACGCAGGATGTGGTGCAACAGACCTGTAAGCCTAGCCCCCCCAAAATTGTAGGGTGGCCATGGCCAGCCTGTCTTATAGGTGAGTTCCAGGCCAGCCAAGGCTACGATAGGGCAGCCTGTGCCCCAAACAGGCCGCAGCAACGAAACAAACCACATACAAGTTTGAGCTACACATTGCTCTATTTGTGGGAAAAAAGTAGTCTGTGCACCATTCTTTTTGCAAGGTAAATTAGTGTTGGGAAAGCATTTGGAGTGGTATTTGAGACTTAACAATGTGTTTGGGTGGCAATGATTTTCTAGAAATCTTTTTCAGTTTTTTTTTTAAAGTAACACTGAAATGTAAACCAGGATTTTGATTACTTCTGGTTTCAAAAGCTTGATTTTCTCTAGGATGCGAGCTATCCTGAGTGAAAAATGAAGCTGCTCAGAAAAAACCCCTGAAGCAATGCAGACCTGTGAAACGCCAGTGATAACTTAAAGTGAGATTCCTAAGTTCCTTCCGGGCGGTTTGCCTTCCCCAGAGTACCTCCCTTTACACAACAATACTGAATAAAACATGCTGAGCACTTCCAATCGGGAAGTCTGGAGTTTAAATGCTTGAAACCCTTAAAACCTAATTTTTTTTCATTTAATCAGTTTATGAGAGTTCCAGTAAGTAATATAGGATCAATTTTGAGGGCCGAGCCGTTAAAGTTTTGCAGGTATTTATCATACTAGGAACACTGAGGTTGTCTGGAGAGGCCACAATAGTTGGCTTACTTATCACCTATCGTGTGCAGCAAACTGTGTCTTCTGTAATGATAGCAAAGTACTGGACACTGGGTGCTGCATAAAGGAAAGAAGCTTATTTAGCTCACATCTTAGCTGTCCAGTAGCACAGCAGTAACATCTGCTGTTGAGGGCCTGGCTCCTTGACATAGTGCGTGGCATTACAGTGAGCACATAGGAGAAACACATGGAGGGGAGAGAGGAAGCAAGTGATCATGGGGGGGATCCTTTTTAAAATAAAATAAAAAAGTTAACAGCCCTCATAGAGGAGCCTATCTTTTTGAGACCATCATTATTCCTTTCTAGGCCACTAGCTCAGCACTGCACTGGGACCAAGCTTCCTACATAGGAACTTTATGTGGACACATACAAACCATATGCAAACAGCATATCTATCAGGTACCTTCGTAATTTTAATTCTTAAAAACTTTTTAATATTTTTAATTATGTATACGTATGTGGGTATATGCACATGGGTGCAGGTGCCCTCAGAGGGTCCAGGGGTCAGATACCTCTGGAACTGGAGTTATAAGTGATTGTGAGACACCGGACATGGGTTCTGGAAATCAAACGCAAGTCCTCCTAACCACGGAGCCATCTCTTTATCCCTGCTTAGTTATCATTTGAAAGAGATGGATTCTTCTACCAGGCATGGTGGTGC